TGTCGGTCACCGAGCGCGAGGTGGTCAGGCAGCTCAGGTACTGGGGGGGACACGCGGTTATGGGGGGGGTCCCCAAATCCCCCCGGGGTCCCCAAATCCCCCCGAGCCCCCCAAACTCCTCGCGGCACCCCCAAAATCCCCCCAAAACCCCCCCAAACTCACCATGCCGCTGTGCGAGTGCCTCAGCAGGATGGCGTGGCCGTAGAGCAGCGTCCGGTGACCCCCACCCTGAGAGGACTTGGGGGGCACAGGGGGGGGTCAAGGTGGGGACCCCAAAACCCCCTGAGGCCTCCTGGACCCCCCAAAAAAACCTCCTTGCACCCCATAAAAATCCCCTGTGGGCTCCATGGTGCAGATACGGCTCCTTGTGCATCGCTGCCCCCTTGTTTTGGGGTCTCCCCTTTATTTTGGGGTGTCTCCCCTTGTTTTGGGGTCTCCTCTTTATTTTGGGGTGTCCCCCCTTGTTTTGGGGTATCTCCCCTTGTTTTGGGGTATCTCCTCATGTTTTGGGGTGTCTCCCCTTGTTTTGGGGTCTCTCCCCTTGTTTTGGGGTCTCTCCCTTTGTTTTGGGGTGTCTCCCCTTTATTTTGGGGTGTCCCCCCTTGTTTTGGGGTATCTCTTCATGTTTTGGGGTATCTCCCCTTGTTTTGGGGTGTCTCCCCCATGTTTTGGGGCCTCTCCCCTTGTTTTGGGGTCTCCCCCATGTTTTGGGGCCTCTCCCCTTGTTTTGGGGTATCTCCTCATGTTTTGGGGTGTCTCCCCCATGTTTTGGGGTATCTCCCCTTGTTTTGGGGTCTCCTCTTTATTTTGGGGTGTCCCCCCTTGTTTTGGGGTCTCCCCTTGTTTTGGGGTATCTCCCCTTGTTTTGGGGTGTCTCCCCCATGTTTTGGGGTCTCCCCCATGTTTTGGGGTATCTCCCCTTGTTTTGGGGTCTCCTCTTTATTTTGGGGTGTCCCCCCTTGTTTTGGGGTCTCTCCCTTTGTTTTGGGGTATCTCCCCTTGTTTTGGGGTATCTCCCCTTGTTTTGGGGTCTCCTCTTTATTTTGGGGTGTCCCCCCTTGTTTTGGGGTCTCTCCCCTTGTTTCGGGGTATCTCCCCTTGTTTTGGGGTCTTCTCTTTATTTTGGGGTGTCCTCCCTTGTTTTGGGGTATCTCCTCATGTTTTGGGGTATCTCCCCTTGTTTTGGGGTCTCTCCCCTCTTTATTTTGGGGTGTCCCTCCTTGTTTTGGGGCCTCTCCCCTTGTTTTGGGGTGTCTCCCCTTGTTTTGGGGTCTCCTCTTTATTTTGGGGTGTCTCCCCTTGTTTTGGGGTCTCTCCCCTTGTTTCGGGGTATTTCCCCTTGTTTTGGGGCCTCTCCCCTTGTTTTGGGGTGTCTCCCCTTGTTTTGGGGCCTCTCCCCTTGTTTTGGGGTCTCCCCCATGTTTTGGGGGGTCTCCCCCATGTTTTGGGGTTCCCCGTGTTGGGGTCTCCTGTGCATTGCATCCCCTCGTTTTGGGGTGCACCGTGCCTTGGACCCCCCCTCCTGTCGGGGTCCCCCTCATGGTGGGATCCCCCCAAATTGGGGACTCCCCTGATTTTGGGGTCCCCAATTTTAGGGTCCCATTCCCCATTGGGGTCACCCCATGTTGAGATCCTCAATTTTGGGGTCACCCCACTGAAAACCCCACAAATTTGGGGGTCCCACGTTTGGGATCCCCTTAGTATTGAGGGTCTCCCATTTTGGGGGGGCCCTCCCGTATTGAGGTTTCCCCCAATTTGGGATCCCAAATTTCAGGGCACCCCCAAACCGAGATCCCAAATTTCGGGGTCACTCCCATATTGAGGTTTCCCCCAACCTGGGATCCCAAAGTTTGGGGTCACCCCACATCTGCATCCCCGATTTTTTGGGATCCCCTCATTTGGGGTTCCCCCCAGTGAATTTGGGATCCCCCCCTTTTTGAGTTCCCCCAAATTGGGATCCCAAATTTCGGGGTCACCCCATATCTGACTCCCAAATTTTTGGGATCCCAGTGGATTTGGGATCCCCCCTTTTTGGGATCCCCTTTTTTGGGGTCTCCCCATGCTCATGGGGGGATTTGAGATCCCTCTTTTAGGGATCCCCTTTTTTTGGGATCCCCTTTTTGGGATCATCCTTTTTCGGGATCCCTTTTGGGATCCCCTTTTTGGGGTCTCCCCATGCTCATGGAGGGATTTGGGATCCCCCTTTTTGGGGTCCCCCTTTTTGGGATCCCTCTTTTTTGGGATGCCATTTTTTGGGGTCCCCTTTTTGGGATCCCTCTTTTTTGGGATGCCATTTTTTGGGATCCCCCTTTTTGGGATCCCTCTTTTTGGGGTCCCCCTTTTTGGGATCCCTCTTTTTTGGGATGCCATTTTTTGGGGTCCCCCTTTTTTGGGATCCCTCTTTTTGGGATCCCCCTTTTTGGGATCCCTCTTTTTTGGGATCTCATTTTTTGGGATCCCCCTTTTTGGGGTCCCCCCATGCTCCTCCCACCCGCGCTCACACTTTGGGGTCCATGCGGAATTTTGGGGGGCTGTGGATGGGATGGGACTGGGGGCACACCCGGACCCCTGGGTCCATGCGGGATGGGCAGAGCCCCCCAAAATTTGGGGGGGGTGGTGAGGAGGAGGAGGAAGAGGAGGAGGAGGAGGAGGAGCGTGATGAAGGTGAGGATGAGGATTTGGGGTCACCACACCAAAGTG